TTTACAACCTAGGGACATAAATGGAATTTTAAAAAAGTTTAAAGGTATAATTGAGATAAAGCCAAATAGTATATTACCACCTCTTTGTTTACTAGGAAAACGACTCAGTAAACATTCGAATTTAAAGATAATGCCTTCATCAAAATTATAGGTTATTGTCTTGTCTTTCCAACACAATTGGAATCATCTTAAAAGGAGGTCTAGAACTCGAGATATGGATAAAACACTAAACCTTACTAGGAAAACCTTACTAGGAAAACCTTACTAGGAATCATCTTAGATGTTTTCTAAGTACTTAATTGATGATAGGTTTTTTTGTTTCATAGAAGACATAAACATAGTGCATGAAATGTTTTCTGAAAGTCACAGAAAAGTTTTTACAGAAAAGTATTTGGAAATTTCTATTAAGTTGCTACCAAGGACGGTTGGTAATAATAATGATGTGCAAAACAGAATTTTGGAAATATTTCTGAGTCATTTTCTTGAAAATTTACTATCAAGAGCATCTGGTAGCGGAATATGACTACGAAAATGGTCGGCCAAATGAGATAGAGAATGTATGAGAATGAATGATTGATAATCGAGCTACCATTATCTCTGATAATAAATGGCATTTTTGGCTTTCAAGTTAAAAAGTGTTGAATATAGGGAAAAACTGTATAGGGTTAACTTCCCTTGTGTATTTACCACACATAGGGCAGTGTATTTATAATAAAGAAAGGTACTCCTCAAAAGAGTAACAAAATACAAATAGGGTAAATAAAAGATATTATTTGATATTGTGATTAACAATATCTAACAATATCTCAACAATATCAAATAATATCAACTAATATCTAATCATATCTAACACTCCCCCTCAAGCTGGAGCATACAAATCGTATGTGCCTAGCTTGGTACAAAGATAATCCATCCTAGGTCCCCGTAAAGACTTAGTGAAAATATCTCGCTAATTGATCACATGAGTTAACGAACTCGGTCTTGATGTCTCCGGACATAATCTTTTCTCGAATAAAATGACAGATCAATCTCAATGTGTTTAGTCCTCTCATGAAAGACAGGATTAGAGCTTATATGGAGAGCAACTCGATTGTCACACACTAGTGTCATTTGAGTGACATCTCCAAATTGTAGCTCTTTAAGCAATTGCTTGAGCCAAATAAGTTCACGAGTAGCCGAGGCCATAGCTCTATACTCGCTTCGCGACTGGATCTTGCCACAACACTTTGTTTCTTACTTTTCCATGAGATCAAGTTACCACCAATGGAAACACAATACCCGGATGTAGATCTTCTATCGAGAGGAGATCCCGCCCAATCGACATCCGAATAGCAGACAACTCTTGTATGATTATGGGAGTCATACACCAAACCTTTTCCAGGAGACTTTTTGATGTACTTCAATATACGGATGACTGCATTCCAATGATCTTGACAAGGAGAATTGAGGAATTGACTCACCACACCGATCGCAAAGGAAATGTCGAGGCGAGTAACTCGTAAGATAATTTAATTTTCCAACTAATCTTCTATACTTGTTCAGGATCCGACATTGACTCCCCCGATTTGGCAAGAGTTTGGTATTAGGATCCATGGGTGTGTCAACAGGCTTTGAATTCATCAACCCAGTTTCCTCCAAAATATCCAATGCATACTTTCTTTGAGATATAACAATGCCATCGGTAGATTGTGCTACCTCAATACCCAAGAAATATCTGAGTTTGCCAAGATCTTTGGTTTGAAAATGGTGGAAAAGGTGTTGTTTCATCTGAGAGATGCCATGATGGTCACTACCTGTAAGAACAATGTCATCGACATACACTATCAAATAGATACATCCAGACATTCGAGTGACGGTAAAAGACCGAGTGGTCTCGCCTCACTTCTAGTCATGCCAAATTGTTGAACAACGTCGCTAAATTTGCCAAACCAGGCCCTAGGAGACTGTTTTAGGCCATATAAAGATTTGCGAAGACGACATACCAATCCAGAAGACTCCCCCGAGCAACAAATCCGGAGGTTGCTCCATATAAATCTCTTCTTGCAAATCGCCATTCAAGAAAGCATTTTTGACATCCAGTTGATAAAGAGGCCATTGTTGAATAGCGGCAATGGCAATGAATAAACGAACATAAGCCATCTTTGCCACTGGAGAGAAAGTATCACCATAATCCAACCCAAAAATTTGGGTATAGCCTTTGGCTACAAGGCGAGCTTTGAGGCGATCAATAGTACCATCAGGACCAACCTTGATAGCGAAGACCCACCTGCAACTAACAACAGATTTTCCAGATGGTAATGGGACAAGCGTCCGGGTTCCACTAGTCCGAAGAGCACCAAGTTCATCTAGCATGGCCTCGACGCCAACCAGGGTGGGCTAAGGCTTCGGAGACAGATTTAGGAATAGACACGGAAGAAATAGACGAGAGACATGTATAAAATGGTGAAGAAATTCGATGATAACTAATAGCAAGTATAATGTGGAGAAGGATTACGAGTAGAACGCGTACCTTTACGAAGGGCAATAGGAAGGTCGGACTCGTGGACGGAACCGGAGGAGGCAGAGTATTTGGCACTGGGAGTGAGTCATGTGGCGTCTGTTGTGGGCGAGGTCTGCGACTATAAACCTGAAGGGGTGGTGGAGGAGGAGGGGCTAATGGTGGATGGTCCTCAACATAAGGATCAATGAGAACAGGAATGGGAACTGTAGCAGATGGAGACTCAGCAGGTAGGGAAATGTCCTTAAAGTAAAAGGAAAACTCATTGAAGGTGACATCGGTAGACACAAAATAGCGATTAAGAGAAGGAGAAAAACACTTGTATCCTTTTTGGGATCGAGTAAATCCTAAGAAAACACATTTGTGTGATCGAGGAGATAACTTATCATGACCAGGATCAAAATTGTGGACAAAACAGGTAGACCCAAAAACCTTCAGAGGTAAAGGATGAAGAGTGTCATGAGGAAATAAAATAGAATGGGGAATTTTGTTATCTAAAACCGAAGAGGGCATACAATTAATAAGATAACAGGCAGTAAGAACAGCATCACCCCAAAAATGTTGAGGAACCGCACCATGAATTAAAAGAGTACGGGTTGTTTCAATAAGGTGTCTATTCTTGCGCTCAGCCACCCCATTTTGTTGAGGGGTATAAGCACAGGAAGTTTGATGAAGAATGCCATGAGAAGCCATAAATTGTTTAAACGAGTTTGAAAGATATTCACGGCCATTATCACTTCGAAAAGTTTGAATAGAGACACCAAATTGATTTTTAATTTCATGATAAAAGTTTTGGAATATAGAAAACAACTCAGAACGATTTTTCATTAAAAATAACCAAGTACAACGAGAGAAATCATCAATGAAAGTAACAAAATATTGAAAACCTAAATTAGACTTAACACGACTGGGTCCCCAAATGTCAGAGTGAACTAAGGCAAAGGGGGATGAAGCACGCTGGGAAACACTACGAGAAAAGGAAGTACGACTATGTTTGCCTAATTGACAGGACTCACACACCATGAGCTAAAGTTGTAGACCCATTAGCCATTGTAACAGAGGGTAAATTATGAGAAGAAGTGAAAGAGGAAAATAAGGATTTGTTACCAGTGATGTGATCGGTGGCGCCTGAGTCAAGAACCCAAGAGCCAATAGAAGAAGAGTGAGTCAGACCAGCAAAAGATGTACCTGTGTGGGCAACAGAAGTAGTGGAACTGGAGGGCTTTCGATCCTCATACCATTGAAGAAAATCATTGAAGATAGCAGATTTGTCTGAAGGTACAGACGAAGGAGGATCCACAGCAGAGGATTGTGCGGAAGAATCAGTCTGAGCAACTGCAGCAGATCGACGAGGATAACCATGTAAAGCATAACATTTGTCAATTTTGTGGCCTAGTTTGCCACAATGGTCACACTTGACACGCCCTTTGCCCGGCTTGTGAGAGCGATTACGATCATCACGGTGAGAGGCCAAGGCGGATGAATCATTAAAAACGGATTGCTCGGACCCACCGGAGCCGACAGAGGTAACTTCAGAATTGGAAGTGGCAGCGGAAGATGCCATGGAGGAAGAGAGAGAAAAACCCTAAAACACCAAAGAGGTCCGATTGGAGCAGCGAGGACAGATCCAGAGAGAGGAGAAGGAGGCGACGCCGGCGCAAAGAGCGGCGGCCTGAACGGCGGCGAGACGCGCCGCCACGCGCGGCGGAACGGGAGAAGGTGGCGCGGCTTCGGGAGGCGCGTGAGGGAGCGTGGCTGCTCCGATGACCGCGAAACTTCCACGGTGGAGGTCGCACGGAGGAGGCGAGCAAAACCCTGTGCTCGGCGGTCCGAACTGCTACTCTGATGACGGCGGCGGCGGCGGCGGACGGCGGTGGCGACGGCACGGCGGCGGCGGCGATGGAGGCGGCGACAGCTGCGAGTTCGATGGCGAGCCGAAAAAATCCCAAGAGACCTTAAGCTCTTGATACCATGTTGAATATAGGGAAAAACCGTATAGGGTTAACTTCCCTTGTGTATTTACCACACATAGGGCAGTGTATTTATAATAAAGAAAGGTACTCCTCAAAAGAGTAACAGAATACAAATAGGGTAAATAAAAGATATTATTTGATATTGTGATTAACAATATCTAACAATATCTCAACAATATCAAATAATATCAACTAATATCTAATCATATCTAACAAAAAGAAAAGATATACATCCATAGGTAGCTGTGAATAACATCTTAAATTGGTAACTTTAACACAATATTATGATTTTTAAAGTAGTTATGATAAAAGTTAATAAGTTTACCACATAATGGTTGTGTGATTGAATGACGGCGCAAGATTATTTTATATTGACAATACATTACCTATTTTCTCTTAACTTCTTAAGATATTTCAAACGATTTTTTCTTGAAATTAAATTGATCCAAACATGATAAATGGAGGTGAAAGAAGAACATACAATGTTTTGTTAGTGTAACTGTAATCTACATGGTATGAATATCCCTCACCTGCAATTTGCTGAGCTCGGAGTATATTTTGTCGCCTTTTCCAGCAACAAACTGAACAGGTAATAAGAAGGAAAAATGTGAATGAAGCCCCTAATCCAATGCTAATTTTACCACCGGCAGAAAGATGAGATCCACATGTAGGTAATCCCGGTATACCACACAGACCTGCGTTGTCCGTAAAACTGCAGGCATCCACAAGTTAAAAAGTTAGAAATATTTGTTACTTGGCCAAAAACAAAGTGAACAAACATGCACGGGAGGAATATCTGTCATTTTCAGTAACTTGTCTAGAATTTAATCTTTGATAACATACTTGAAGCTAGCTCTGTACAGAAGTCTTCCTCCTAGAGTTGCTGGGACCCTTTCAGATAGGAGGTTGCTGTTAAGGTTCCTGCATGAAGACATTTTGATACAGATTTGTTGCCCTCGTATTTGTTTTATTGGTTAGTTAAACTTTGGATAATCTTACAGTCTTTGTAATGAAGTCAACTGTCCAAGGCTTTCCGGAATTGATCCATTGAAAAAGTTGTAGGATAGGTCACTGCATCATTACATGGCATTCAGAAATGACAGCAGCATGATAACCGCCTTTCGCAAACTTAAAACAACGACATTAAACAATGAAAACAATACCACAAGAAAAAGAAAAAGAGGAAGAGATTACTTAACAGCACTTGCAGTCTATTTATTGTACCAAGTGAAGATGGAATCGCTCCATGGATGTTGTTCCTACTCAAGTTTCTGCAATTCATAAGCAAACTAGTACAAATTATAGGAAAGTAATGCTGGGAACACAAATGCAATACAAGACGAAAGTAAATAATAAGAATACAAAGAATTGATGTGATTCAAGTGATCTACATCCACGATTATACTAGATGATAGTTCTCATTCACACAATTAGGTATGTATTTATAATAAAAGAATAAGTAAATAGGTCAGACCTAATAACCTTCTTACTCTACATACTTAACAAATAAATATGCTAGTTGTTTCTGTTTGTTGAAGAATAATACTTAACAAATAAATATGCTGGTTGTTTCTGTTTGTTGAAGAATAATGAGTTAAAAATTGAAAAAAATATGTATATATATGGGAGAGGGATCAAGTCCCTCCAAGAATAACTTTTAAAGAGTAACTCATACTCATCATTTATGTTCTCTCAAAAACTAAAGGTTGAATTTAAGTTCCTCGTTAGAACTATTAAAATGAAAGATAAAATGGGGAACAACTCTTTCAAAGTTACTCTTAGAGTATCTTATCCCTTCTTCACATATATAACATATATAAAATACTGGAGCAAGCCTTCAACATTTAAGTCAGTCCTGGTCCTTGGTATCCAACATGTTGGACAAATTATTGAACTCAAAAAAAAAAAAAAAAAACACACTAAATTCTAAACAAATTATGGAGTAATATGTTTTTTAGCCCAGATATAGGTAACACTAGAAATAACAATACATTAAGCTTAAGCATAACGCATACACGACTCATCCATGCATTGACATATATATTTTTGCATACTTGTTTTCTAAAATACTTAGAAACCTATGTGGAACTCACAGGATTTGTAGATTTAGTAGTCTGGATATGTCATCTGGCAAGAAACCTTTCAGACCTTGATTGTCAAGACCACTGTTCATCAACAGACGAAGCACTCAATAACTAAGATATAATAAACAATCAACATATTGAGATAGAACATTCAAAATGATTAAATATTCAACAGTTCTCAAGACAAAACACAACGTCTTTGTAGCATAGTGGACCAGTCTCTTAGCAAGTGCAGGGTGTAATCTACCTTGTTTCAAGGGTTAAAGCTTAAAACATACTTTTTCCTCTTAGACCCTAAACCCTAAGACATATATATGCGATACTCATTTTTTAATTTGATAACTATATTATTACTGTGAATTATAGTTTGGTACCAAACTATAAATAATTTCCATGTACAAGATCCAAATATAACATTTCTAATTCTTATGTAAAACGTTTTCTATTTCATCCATACACACATGACTATGTTTTAACTCCTACGATTATACATAGAGGGATTAATTTGATAACTATATTCATATAGGGTCTAACTCGAAAATTCATCTTGTACTTTAACCTTTTTTGAAAAATGAAATCGGCCCAACGGATTTAAGAGTGGGGAGGGTCAATTCAAGGGTTACTCCCTCAAATGCGAAGCATATCACCTAAAAAGTAAAAATATCCTGAAAGAGTTCAAAAATAGAATGTCTTGAGAAAGACATATATTAACTAGTTTATATGTCAGCTGTGATTGTGCATACATGAATGCATAAACCCAAAATACAAAAATCTTCCCCTTTTCTATCTAATAGAATGAAGAAATAAAAATACTCTTGGTTTTGGTACAACTACAGCGAACGAAATTTTTAAGTTAAAGGGAATAAATGAATTATTAAGAAGAAAGCAGCATTCACGGAATCAAATAAACAGAAAACAAATTTACATAGGGAAAACAAGAAATTACAGTCCATCAATGACCCAGCTGCCACGACTTTTGTTTAATTGGCAATCCACTCCATTCCATGGATGTTGTTGAGGAACACACGGATCACCATTCCACCCAAATCTGGGTGGAAGCCCCAATGCCTTCTTCAATGTTTGTAAAGCACTAACTAGAGTAAAAGACAAATAATAACTTGCAAAAGTTACCGTGCATTCGAATAAAAAATGCAGCATTTGCTACTATAGACTATGAAGAGTTCATGAACTAGAAAACAAGTAATTGGAACAAGTATTATAAAGCATGTGATCAATAAATATCGTCTCTGATATGGGTTAAGAGGAAGACAAAGGGATCTAACATGTTTGATTGGGCATGAATTCCCTGGTCTACTTTTGACAAGCTCTCCCAAAAATTGGAGTTTTTTGAGATGCATTAATTATTGTAATTAAAAAGAAACTGCATAACAATACATCACTAATACAGATCCCAAACACATGCACGTAATGCTAATATGCTATCACTTCTCCAATGACCTAACACTAACCTTGTTTGTGGACATTTCAAAGTAATTAATGTTCTCTACGAAATTCAATATATGTTATCTTTAATAATACAATAAATACCACACAACATTAGCATGAACATTTTTGATGAAAAAACTGTAAAAGTAGTAGGGATCAGCAAACATACCTTCCTCTGATATAGTTTTTGACTCGGCCATTATAACCTCGAATATTTCAATAGCATTGATTATGGCGAGATTACCTTCCTTTGGTTTCAATGTTATTGTTAGAGTCCTCCCATTAACAGCAACAGTGGTATTAAGCACAAGGGCAGTATAGAGATCCCCACTCAATTCTACAATGTCAACATCTTCGAAAGCAAGATATTCATTTATTTTAATATCAAAGATCCTTTGCCCCGCAGCAGTCACCGAATAATCAATCTCCGCAAAATGTAACCAAACAGAATAGTTTCTGTTGGGATCCACCTCTAATGTATATGTTAAATCAGGCTGATTATTAGTACTAACAAGTGCTGACTGGTAAAGGGTTTCTGGATAGAAGTTTGGCGGATGTGAAGCATGTTTAATTCTAGTTTCAACTGATCTAGGTTGATCAGATTCAGAACCCTCACCAAAAGTTTTAATCCGTTGCCAAAATCTGTCCCCTCCCCAGGGATCCCCTGCATAATCTACGTCAAACTTTGACTGCCCAAAACCACAACTCAGTCTTTTAACTGTTCTAAGTATTAACCCTTGACTCCATCGGGGAACAAAATAATAAGCCTTATCATCAAGTTGAAGAATCTCGATAGAAAGGATAGCTGGGTCCCCATGACCAGTGCTATGGAAACAGATTGATACAGAGTCATCTGTAAGAAACACTAGCGCCTCAGTAAATACTCGATCAGCCTGATCAGTCCAACCTGATTTCAAAGAATATATCTGCGTGCCTTCGATAGAAATGTCAAATAGAGGCTCAATAATGGTACCTCTAGACTGACCAACAAGTCCAAAGAAGACTCTGATGGAGTACTGACCCTTTGGCACCTTATCAATGATGTAACAATTTTGTGGACCTTCAGAGAAAGGGAAATGGCGTAGAGTGTTGAGTGGTGGGGTGATGTAGCTTGGAGGAGTTGCATTAGCGACTATGCCACCCGTATATCCAAAATCTTCACGCCAATGGGTATTGGTTGGTCTTGTTTGAACATTTTGTAGAGCCCCACAGCTTATGCGCATAACAAATGGGTCTGCAGTGATTTGAACCAAATTAAAATAGGGTAAAACACAAAATATTCATACACAGATTTTGAAAACAATAATCCTCTATAGTATGTGCAGGGTGAATGTAGAAACTGCTTCTTTAGAGGTAAAAATGTCAACAAAAATTTCGTGCATTGCCAATAGACTGCGAAAATGAAATTTGATCACTATCATAAGTGATGATGAATTATATGCAATCGTTTCCGCAACATGATTGCTCATTTAAAGCGTAACAGACAAACCAAACCCCACAAATTCCAATACGGTAAAAGTTAGTACTCATCAGAAATTCCAATATTGCAACTACCTGGAAATTTTTAAGAAAAAAAATTGTTAAAATTACGACTTCAGTTTCTTATCTACTGATGCTTAAAATTAATGCAACCAATAAATAAACACTTGATCAATGTAAAATATTATCATTATAATTATACTAAAATACTCTTAATTATTTGTTAATGAACTACCATTGTAGATATCATTAAATAAGAGCAAAAAAAAAAAGTTCAAGAAAATTAAAAATTGTAAAGCCTAGTTTTGAAACAAAACAAAAAGGCTTAAAACATCAAATATAGAAGCGAGGTCATTATTGATTTCAAGTTTCAACGTTTGGACATGCTTGAAACTCTTAATCTTCTAAAGATCAAAGCATTCAAAGCGTGCCACAATCCAAATTTGATCAAGAGAGCTCGGCGTCATTGCTCAGAGAGGAGGGAGAGAAGAGAAGAAGGAGAGTTTTGAGAGGTTCACCTTGCCGTGCAGCACAGGAGACACTAGCAAAGCAGAGCATCATCCATAGCTGAAGAAATCGAAGAAGCATTGCGGTGGATTCGGCTTCCTAGATTTTCTCTCTCTACAACTTCTTCTTCTTCTTCTCTGTCTTTTTTCTCTCACTCATTCATCCTGTCCCCATTTTAGTTGAGTGCTTTTCTAGAGAGAGAATGTGGGGTTGCGCACTTTTCCACACCACGCTTCGAAAATCTTCTTCTTTCAACTTTACTTGCGCGCGCCAAAGAAACGAACGAGGGAGCACGCAGGTGTGTCCGTGCTGCTGAGCCTCATCGTAGTTCATGCACTTTCAATCGCACGGTGCAGATCTTCTCGAAATGTCCACTCATCACCACAATCTGTATCCCTCTTAATCTTACAAACTATTCCCGTTTACATACTAACAGAATAATTTTATTTTAGAGAGAAATTAAATAAAATTATAAATTAAACTTACTTTATACATAAATTACAAAATTAGAAGCAATAAATCAGAAAATTTTATTAAATTTAACTGTCAATAAAATGATTAGGTAAGTTAGGTGTTGAAGCTGGACTTATGTGTGGATATAATTACATACTGTTGGGGTCGATAGAGTCAATGAAAATTTAAAAATGTTTATGAAGAAAGAAAAATATTCTTAAGAAATATCGAAATTACCAAGAATTATTAATATTAAGAACCGAACAATATGATTACTGATGAAGCTAATTCGTTTAGATCGGACGGTGCAGAATGGTCATCAATGGGTTCATTGAACTTTTTGACTTTTGACGTACACTTAGGTAGTGGGGAGGAATTAGAGCGCAATCCCCGGAGCGGAGTGCATACATGATTTTTTTTTTTTCTTTTTCCACTTATTTTTTAGGATATTTCAAGAACAGTGGAATATCCAAGAACAGTTAATTAAGCTTATCAAATTTAAGTTAGATTTATCTTTTGTTCATTATTAAGAAACATTAAATAAAATATATAGGTACCTTTAATGTTTCTCCATAACTATTTTCATGAGAAAAATAAAAAAATATATGTGAAAGGATTTTTTTTTAATTATACATCTTTTTTGAAGAATATGTTTAAATAAACTTATAAAAAATTTATTTCACTTTTTTTAAAAATTTTCTTTTTATGTAAGTGTTTATGGAGAAAATAATCTTAAAAATCTCTTATTTTTTTTATTTTATACCATTTAGTCCCTCTATTAATAAAAGATTTAATAAAGTTTTTCAATTTAAAAAATGTAATAGTATAACCCTGTCAAGGTTCAATCATATCCCTCAAAAAAAAAAAAAAAAACAATGCAATAATATTTTATCCTCTCCTCATTTAAAATTGACATAGTTTGTTTTATTAATTATCATCTTATTTAGTTGTAAACTGTTATTTATGGAAAACAAAACTGTTAATAATGTTTTACTTATTTTTTAAATGTGTATCTATTTTGAGACATTACGCTTTTCTGATCAAAAAATAATACAAGTGTTTTAATTTAATTATTGGCAAAGACAAAATGTAACTACTATGAACTCTATTTCTGTTGTAGATAAACTAACTACTGATTGTTTTTTTTTTTTTCCATCAAGATATTATACCATTTCCCAATTTGAAAACATAACTATATATATGTTTTTCCTATCTTCTGGACCCTCTGTATAATCCCTATCAGTATAGGCAAGTAATTCTACATTTTCTCCAACTTTATAAAAAATTCTTAAATTTTGAGTTCCCTACGAATATATTAAAATTTGTTTTGCTGCTAGGAAGTGACGTTCTCTAGATGCTCCATGAAGTGACTAATCATACTAATTGAATGTGCAATATCCAGTATAGTAGCATTCAGATACATGAAACGACTAATCACGCTAATTGAATGTGCAATATCTAGTCTAGTAGCATTCAGATACATAAGGCTTCCTATAAGTCATTTGAATAAAGTACTATCAACTTCTACCCATCTATATGTTTTCAACAACTTAATGTTGAACATTCAAGGACTTGATGTTGCAAATAATGATCATGAAGAATGTTGATTTTGATGATGATCCAAGAACTTAAAGACTTAGAGTATTGAAGATTGAAGATTGATGATTTCTGTATTGTAATAACTCTGTTTTAGTTTGATTGAGTCTGTAATTATAGAATCTAAGATAGCCTGTACATAGTCTCGTAACTTAGAAGCTTCAAAAAGCTCAAATTTATCATTCAGGCTCGGCTTTAATCGATTATATAGGTAAATAATCGATTAAAACAAGTGAGAAAACCACTTTCTATACAAAGTCACTGTTTTAATCGATTAAACGACAGAAATAATCGATTATTTCAGATCGTTTCAGATGCGATAATCGATTATTTCACCAAATAATCGATTAATCCGTAGAGGTTTGGGTTCTGATGTATTTGACTCTGTTTTAATCGATTATCACTCCAAATAATCGATTATTTCAATCTGTTTTTCATTTTAAATTTCAAATTAACCCTATTTTCGAAAACCCAATTACCAAGAACCCTAGTTTCGAAATCCCCAATTCCTAAACCCTAATTTCCCTACTTAAACTCGCTTTGGCACTCGTAAATTAAGAACAACTCTTTCCATACAAAAGTTAAGTGTCGTGAGTGCCGGAGAACTGTTTGTTGCAAGGAAAGGGGGCTTTTGGAACCTGGTGTGGGCTAGAAGCGATAAGAATCACTAAGTGGAGTTCTTAGTGGATTGTGTGTTGTGCCGTCTCTCGGGGAAAGTCTGTTCTTCATCTCTTGTGGATTTCAAGAGAGGTGTTGTCTTTACTTTATCTCTTTCATTTGTAATTTGTTTTGTAACAATTTGTTCTTAGTGACAGCTGTTAATCCTCTTTTGAGTGATTAGCAATCGGACGTAGGGTCTTTTGATCCGAACCAGTATAAACCTACTCGTGTAATCTTCTCTACTCTTCTCTATTTACATTTACGCAATTTTTAATTGGTAAAATTTGGGGAAAATTTTGAAAACCTAATTTTTATTAAGAAACCAATTCACTCCCCCCTCTTGGTTTTTGTCCGACCACGCGAACATTCCGCTGCGCGATTCTAACAAGTGGTATCAGAGCTTGCTTTGATAGTCATTCAAATATTTTCGAAAATGGCCGGACAAAATCAAACTTTTGCCGAAGGTGCATCTATCAACAGACCCCCACTTTTTGCGGGTCAAAATTATCCTTTCTGGAAAGTACGTATGCAAATATTTTTAGAGTCTGTTGATAGAGGCGTTTGGGACGCAATTTTAAATGGTCCATTTGTTCCTAAAACTACTGAGAACGGTGTTGACGTTCTTAAACCTATTTCTAGATGGACTGCAGAAGAAAGTCGAAAAGCACAATTTGATGTTAGGGCTAGAAATATTATTTTATCTGCTCTAACCCTTGATGAGTTCTACAGAATTTCTATTTGTAAAAGTGCACAGGAAATGTGGGAAATGCTTAGAGTAACCCACGAAGGAACTGACGACGTCAAAAGAGCGCGTAAAAACTCCCTAATCCAAGAATACGAGATGTTCCGGATGCAACCCGACGAAACGATTTTCGACGTTCAAAAGCGTTTCACTCATATTGTGAATCATCTCACCGGATTAGGTAAAGTATTTGACGTTGATGAATTAAATGTTAAAATTTTGAAATCTCTGGATAGGAAATGGCAACCTAAGGTGACGACCATCTCGGAGTCACAAAATCTTGCCACTATGTCCATGGCGGCGTTATTTGGAAAGCTTAGGGAGCATGAGCTTGACCTTGGAAGACTAAATGAGGAAGAGGGTCAATATCAAAAGAAGAACCTAGCTTTCAAGACCGAAATTTCAAAAAGCAAAAATAAGAAAGAAGAAGAAGAAGACTCCGAAATTGATGAAGAAGAGATGAGTCTTTTTATAAAGAAGTTCACCAAGATGATGAAAGCAAAAGGAAGACATCCTTTCAAAGGTAAGGGAAAGGTAAAAGAAAATTCTTCCGTTAATATAAAATGCTTTGGTTGTGGTGAAGCAGGGCATATAAAGACCGAATGCCCAAACAAGAAAAATGATGAACACAAGGGCAAAAAGCAATTCAAGAAGAAAGCATATATTGCTTGGGATGACAGTGATTCAAATTCAGAATCAAGCGACTCTGAAATAGAAGCAAACAATTGCTTAATGGCAAATGACAACATTTCTTCGGATTTTGAGGTTAGTGATTCCGATTCATCCTCTAGTGAAGAAAATGACCATGATGAATTGCAAAATGCTTATAATGAGTTATTTACTGCATTTATGGATATGAAAAACGAATTTAAAGTTGTAAAGAAAAATCTAAGAAGATCCGAAAAGGAAAATGAGTCCTTAAAATTGAAAATTGCATGTTTAGAAGAAAAGGAGGTAGCTAATACGAAAATTGTATGCTTAGATGAGAATAAGGACTTAGCTTGTGCAAATTGTAAAGAGCATGAATATGACATAGATATTCTTAACCATTTGCTAGACAAAGCGGAAAAAGAAATTGATGATCTTAAGAAGCATGAAATGGTAATTGCTCAAAATAATGTAAATCAAAGAGTTCCTTTGAAAAAGAGTAAAACTAAAAAGAAAAGAGTATGGGTAGAAAAAGGAACTAGAGCATGTCATGTTAATAATGTATCTTGTTCTAAAAATGCATGCTTCTATTGTATGAAACAAGGTCACACTTCAAATAAGTGTAAAATTAAACATTTTGGTGTACCTAAAGGTAAATATATTTGGGTTCCTATAGTTAAATGAACTATTTGTATCTTGTATTTATTCAAAGAAAATGGATCATTTAGTATGTTTTAAACAGAATGCTTAGGTAAAAACATTTTATCTTTTCTATTGCATGAAGGTTCTTCACTTAAAGATCTTTGCGAAATGCCTCTAAAATCGTTTTAATCAACTAAAAACAAAGTATTTTTACAAAAGCTTTCTTAAACATGTTTTTAACTGATATAGTTTTGAAAAAAACCGATTAAAATCACTTAGAGTGTTCAAAGAAATGTTTTTACAGTATTTTAATCGATACAACTTAATTTTAATCGATTAA